CAAGGCATTCTTCTATGCTTGGCAGAGGAAGGATACAGAGAGCTTTTGTACCTCACTTGCACCAAATTGAATATTTCTTTAATCACCCTGGAGAGGAATGCACTTGATTGCATTCTGTGAGTTGTGAATTATTGTTTTTGGGTAGACCTGGTGGGTAATGAATGACCTGACTCCTCACTGCCACTACCCAGCCACCCCCTCAAATGCACCCGCTCCTCTCCCTTGGGCAGGACCTGCTCCACAGTGGCAGCAATAGTCCAGAGAAAAGAATGTGAGGGGATAGCCATTAATAACAAAGCTGGCAGCCCCCTGTGAGGAGAGCAATTTTCACATGAAAATCTTCTCCAAAGTAATGAAGCCTTGCTTCATTTGAAGTCTTAACAGGTAATTGCACCGAAGGTGATTTCCAGGTAAAGATTTTTTTCCCCTGAATGAAGGGTGAATACTCTATTTAAACACAGACAAAAAGCCCAAACTGTCAAAGAATTAGCATCTAGTGCGGAAGTTTAATGCTTGAGGTTTTTCCCTAATAAGTTGGTTAAAAGGCAGTAACACTAATATGACAGATTATTAATACTACAGAAGAGGGAAACTGATGAAAGCTTGTGACTGTTTCTGCATGTGGCTCTGTGGTAACATATTTAATTTTGAAGTCTATCAAATCTGAACCTTTTCCTCCCCTTTTTCATTTACAGAAAACAGCAAAGGTGAGGCCAGAACTGAAAGAGATATTGTGCTGTCATCAGTTTAGACATTTTCCCAGGAAATACTATGAAAAATATTCAGGGGCAAAAACGTTTTTCTCCTTTTTTTTTTTTTTTTTTTTAATGCTCAGTTTTCACTCATAAACTCAAAGATTAAAGTAGTCACTTTAATTAATCTTGTCTCAATCCTCAGACACAAACAGTGGAGAGAAGCCCTGTTCTGCTGGGGTGTTAAACTGACTGAGTCAGAGTATCAGAAAGCTCAGAGGAATCAAAGTCCTTGGCCTCAGTTTATGAGCTACTTACCAATTTGACAAATGTAATGCCAATTTGACAAATGTAACATTTTCAGTGAAGATGCAATTGTGTTTTCTGACAGTGGGGAGAAAGGAGTTAAACTGCAGCTGCTGCTTTCCCTCTGTAAAGAGAGCAGCGATGCATCTGCAGCCAGCCTGTCCCTGGTGCTCAGCACAGAAGGGATAAGCCACTCCCAGGAGGCAGACAGGTAATGCCATTAGTGAGGAGCAAGAAATGCTCATCCCATGTTTGCAGCAGCTTCTAGAAAGTGATGTGTGACATCCTGAACCAGCATGAGCACATCTCATCCCTACTGAGCTCGACAAGCGTGTGGGGGCAGAGCTTTGCCCATCCTATTTTCATTGAATCCATGTGTTGGAGGCTTTATTTTCACAGCGGTCAGCAAAACTTCTGGATACGTGTCTGCACAACACAGGTGCAAGCCTTTGGTTTGTGATCCCCATCTGGGAGTGAGGCAGGCCAGGCTGGGAGCTGTGCTTTGTGTGCTGAGGAGTGGAGCTCGGGCTGGGTGACGCAAACAAAAAGGGATTTCCCAGCTGCAAACCCTTCACATCTGGTGGGACCCAAGCATGTGCATGGCTGCCGCTGCCCATATGTGCAGATATATCAAATATAAACATGAATCCAACTAATTTTCACACACTTGTTACAGCTTCTCCTGTCTCACTGGAGGCCTCTGAGAGCCCTCCTCCTTCTTGATCTTGCTGGGAAAGCCTGGATTTATGACATCTTAAGCTGTTCCTTGGATGCACGCTGGGGTGCCAGATGTGGGACAGTGGCTTCATCTCAGCATCAAGGAGAGAGATGAGCCAGGCTGGGGGCAGATTCAGTCTCATCAATCCATATTGTCATCTTAATTTATCAGCCACTGCCACAGAGAGCAGGGAGCCAAACTGATAGAGGGGAAAGGCTTCCTTAAAGAAAGACCCAGGAGGTCATAAAATGTCCTGAATTGGGAGGAAGGGCTTAGTTGTCAGTCGGTGCTTTCCTGCTCACAGTGTTCCTAGCATGGCTTTCAGATAAGCACATCCCTAAATAGAGTATCTGGGATGGGAAGTGATTTGTCTCCCCGATTTAATGCTTGCTCTTTTAACCAGTACCACGTAAGAGGAAAACATCAATGATTTCTCCTATGTGTACTAAACACATGGGTTGTGATTATTTATATTTGGCTTTTTTTCCTGTGAGTGTCTGGGGTCCATTGGGAGCAGCAGCAGCTCAGTGCTCTGCTAGTGCAGCAGGTGGTCAAACATCAGGAGAGGAAAGCAAATAAGGGTGAAGTTGCTTGGCTGTGCATGGGGATCTCTGAATCCCACTGAGGTTTGGGGTGCCAGGATGCAGCTCTGTGCCAGGGTGGTGGTCCCAAGGTGCTGGGACTGGGCTCTCCTTCCTGTGCATGGGTGTGTGGGACAATGGCCCCAAGCTGGCCAGTGAATCAGAGCCTGGACTCGCCCTCAATCAGAATCGGTGCTCAGGAAATGAGGCACCTGCCCTGCTTCCTCTCATTTAATGGGTTTATTTTTAATTGGAAAAGGCTATGAGATTTGTTCCTTTTTCTCAGGGACTTCACGTCCTCTGGAGATCCCTGAAGGATGGGGTGAGGTATGAGCAGCCTCAGGGACCTTCCTTTGGGAACCACGTCCTGGTAGCTTTACTCAGCACCAGGCACCAAAGCTGAGGCTGTTCATGGGATACACATGAACCAATCTACTGAGAGCACGGCAGAATCTCCTGATGCTACCTGAGCTTCCTTCCATCATGTTCCCAAAGTGAAAACTGTTGCTGAACGAAAAAAAAAAAAAACCATGTCCTGGCTCTGCTGAGCCTGTTTTCCATATCTGCATCTGGTGACTGTCACTGTGGTCCTGGTGAGCAGTGAGGCTCTCAGGCTGGGAGGCAGCATCATTGCAGTTAGTTTGGTCTGGGCCTTTCCTGAGATCTACAGAATTTTAGATGGTGAGCCTGCCTCACTGCCCATTTGTGACCATGGCACCACTTCTACTGCACATTTTGTGTGAGGAGACTGAAACTGAGGTCTGTCTGTGGAGCAGTGGATTCTTCCATGGGGTTATTCCTCTCATGGGCAGTATTGAGATGCTCACAGACTGTCAGCTATCACAAAAATCATCCATATCAGACACAGTGAATCTGATTTTCAAGAGTATTCCTCTCTAAAACAGGCCCAGAAGCATCAAGGCAATCTAACGTGGTAGAGGTTTATTTTCAATATTTTGAAGAAACGCGGTGTGTTTGTGCTCTTCTGTTCAGTGACTCCTCTATCTCCATCCCACACTCCATTTCTCTGTGGGAAGACATGATCATAGTGCTGTCTGGGTGCTGCAGGTCTGGATCTGGTGTGGTACCAATATCTCTATGAGGTGATGCCCTTTTGGGGACCTGAAGTGGTTTGTCTGTGGCACTGTGCAGACGTGCTGGTTTCCTCATCCAGCTGCCTTGGGGATCTCTAGCACACCTCTGCATTACCTGGAGCAGGCTTGCCTGTGTTTGCAAAACACCAGCAATAATTAATGATTAAGTAGGAAACAAAGGAATGTCTCTAAGATCTTTTCTTCAAGCAGTTCAAGGTCTATCCATGCTTACAGCTCCCTCCTTTTATTCTACCCTTCTCTATAGATATGTTAATTTACTTTAGCACCAATTAATCCATATGTTTCAACCTGCCTGCCCATCCTCTTTATATTTTTTTCTCCAGGTTAGAATAGCTTTGGGAGGTGGTTCTTGAACTCTCACTGAGCTTTTGCCAAACTAGAAGTGTTCTCAGAGAGGAATGTCAAGTGCTTAACTACAATTCATTTTAGTCAGAAAGAGAATAAAAAGCTCACCACCACATCTGTCAGAACAAAACCTGTCTGTGTGGAGTTTGGATAGGTTTTAACCATAGCGCCACTTAAAGGATTATACTGCTTTCTGTGGGGAAGGGGAGGAGAAGGGGACTCTCCCAAAGCTGGAAATGATGCACACAATTGCATTTTACCTTTACACAGGTGTGAGTGTAGGTAACTGGAGTAATTGGTCTTACCTGCATGTTCTTCACTTTAACCTGGTTATCACTGTTTGCAAAGCAAAGCTGTGCAGATATAGAAGTAAAGACTGAATTGAACCTAAAAACCAAATGTTTTCACTTTTGTGATCTCAGAAGCATAGAAGGGTTTGGGTTGGAAGGGACCTGAAGATGATCTCATTCCAACCCCTGCCTTGGGCAGGAGCATCTTGCACCAGACCAGGTTGCACAAAGTCCCGTCCAAGCTGGCTTTGAATACTTTCAGGGATGAAAAATCCATAGGTTTTTGTGTTTTCTGGGCAATCTGTGCCAGTGCCTCACCACCCTCCCTGTAAAGAACTCCCTATCTGCTGTGACTAAAATCTTAGTGGGGTTTTTTAACATTTAAGTCCTTTTACAAGGCCTCAAGTTTTCACTAATGAACAAGAAAGAGATCTGTAGACACCCATCTAAACTCAAGTTTTTCTGGATTTCTGATCTTTCCTCACTCAATCTTTTCATCCTATTTTTAAATATCCTTATAAATCCTTATTTCAGCCATTGTTCAGGAAGTAAGTAACAATATTAACATAAACCATGTAACCAAGGCAGAATTACACAACAGCAATATCTGACACTATTCATTGATATTTCTAGCTATGATAGTTTCCTTCTCCTTTCTTGAATTTTGTTTTGTTTGGACTGTACCCATTCTTTCCTTTCTAATGTTTGGTTTTTTCCAGTTGATGAATATAGGATTTAATTCTCTTTCTTACAAAACATGGACCAGCCTGGCTTTTCTCATTAACTTCCTTATTAACATAAGCCCCACCACCTGTAACATTCATCATGTGAGCAGCAGCACATATTAGATAACCTGTATTCCCTCTCAGAGTTAAATGCCAGGATGCAAAGATATTGCAAGTTCAGCTTTCAAGACAAGTTTAAGGGTTTTTTTTCCTTCAATTATTTTGCAGGGGTGCAATAAAAATCTGGAGGAGATCAAACTCTGGCTCATTTGGCACAGGAAAACCAAGCAACCATGCAGGACTGGAAACCTCTAGCTGGTAAGACTAGAGTTAAATCAAAGAGGAAAGTCTTTTACTCAAAGTCGTGCAGTTTATTGCTGCACTATAGATTCTCCAGAAGACTATAATACCTTGCTGTAATGGTAACTAGGAAAATACTTTGAGGTTTTAAAGCAGGATGTGCAGTTCATGCTGGTTACTGAGTGATAAATGATACAGGCTGCAGAGAAAAACTATACAAACACATTATTTCAGCTAGAACAGCAAAGCACTTCAGATATAAATTAAAAATAACTACAGTCTTGTGGTCCTTGTCAGTTATTTACAAGCCTCTTGAAATATTTCCTTATCTGCCTTTCTCATAAGAAATTAGGCAATTATAGTGTAAGTCTGAAGCCAGAGAACATCAAATAATGAATCATTATAGCATTATTACATGGGAAGTAGGAACAAGGGGAAGGCCAAAAGAAAACCCAAAGGCTTTTCATCTTCAGGAAATCTATTTTAAATTAAATTGAAATAAAAGCCTTAAATAAGTTTAACGTAATTCTGAGGAAAAGGCAGTTGCACAATGAAGAGGTATTTGCAGTCTGAAATTCAACTTTGGGAAAAAAAAAATTTTCCTGTCATTGAGCTGGTCACAAATCTTTGTATAGAGAAATCTTTCATGAAAGAGAAAGATAAATGTGATCTGGAAGTCCAGAGACTCAGGAGTTTCTTAAAGATGGGGGGAAAAGGAAATGCATCAGTGTATATGCATTCCTTGTTAACTTTCAATGGCATTGTAAGTTATCTATATTTATGCATCTATGTAACAACTGTCATTAGAAGGACTTTTAGGATGAGTATAGTTGGAATTTTGAGTGTTGTTGGTATTCTGGTTTTGGTTTGGGTTTTTTCCACAATTTGACCTAATTTCTTCTGATTCAGCATTAGAGCACATTTCAAGATAATTCATGTGTTTTCATCTTCTTTTCTGGGTCAAAATTCCAGCTTTGTTAAAAAGGCATTACATTCCCTACAAACCAAATCAGACATTCAAAATATGTCCAGCTCTCCTGAGCATCAAAAGGAGGAGGGATCAGCAAGTCTCAGGCTTCATCTTAATTTGACAATTTAGAGGTAACATCTTTTGACATTGTCCATAGGTGATGCAGGTGAAATGAGCCAGTGGTCTCCAGTAAAGGAGTTGTTGATATCCTGTTCTGCTTGTGCTCTGTGAAAGATGAAATCAGGAAACTGATCCCCACACTCACAAAAAATTTCAGTCTGATCACAACAGGCAGGACTGATGGCTTTGATTGCTGAACTCTTCTCACAGCCCTCTGCTCAGCTGCACTGCTATTCACTGGAGCAATGGGCCATCAAAATTGGGCAATACTCTGTTGTGTAAAAAAATATATTTCTGTTTAACTTTTTAATTCAATTATTTCTTTTAAATGGGTTGTGGCAAGGCAGGGCAAATTGTCTGGAAAAGACACTATTTGAACAGACTCAGATTTGCTAAAACCCAGTATCTTTTTGACTCCTTAAATGACACCTCTGTATTCTATATTTAGTATTGGTCAGTCCTAAGAATGTGATTATACTTGAGTTTGCACCCAAGTATCCACCTGAAGAATGAGAGCCTAATATTTTTTACTGACCTCAAATGTGCCGTAAGGCAACAAATGGCTAAAATTTCATTTTTTGAAGGATGAGAATGCTCCGAGGTAGTTAATGTAGTTCAAGATATGTCATTCCTGATTTGGGAAATGGCAGGGGTGAGAACTGGATATTTTGGGTAAATGGGGTACTGGGTCACCAGGTCTACATGAAATACAGCTGAGAAATATATATGTAATAATGACAGCTGGCTATGGCATGCCACTGTTCACAAAGGACACGCTATAGCAAATTGAGTCAAGAGAACGAAATCCTTGATGTTACTCTGAAAGAAAATATTAAAAGCAATTTTACAATATTTATCTTGGATTCAGAGCAAATAATATTCTTCTTCTAAGAAGTGATAACATATCCTTCTAATAAGGATGTGAACATTTTAACATCAGTATCTAACCCACCGTTTGTATGGACTCACACCACTTAGAAAAATGGTGAGGAACCTCTCATCATCCTATTGAGAGGTGAAGGATATAAAGATTCTGAGCAAGAGCACTTGCTGAGCAAGCTCATTTTCCAGTTTAGAAACACCAGCAGCTTCTCAGAGCAAGTGTTAGTTATGTTCTTTCTTGTGTTGTGCCTGTCTTTGAATCCTTTCCCTCTCAATAAACACACAGGCTTCACTGTTTGTTGCCAGGAAAAGCCTAAGTCATGAAATGTGAATAACACTGACTTACACATTTCTAAGGGCCTGAGAGTGAATGAGGATCCATCATGCAAGGTGCTGTCTAAACATGCAGCCAGTACTTAGAGTCTGAGTAAATAAAACAGGAACAGAAAAGTTCAGTGACTTGCAACAACCCATGAGAAGAAACAACAGCCTGGAGTCAGTCCAGCTGCTCTGACATCTCGTTCATTGCCTTTTCCACTGGATATTGCTGAACTGACATCTTGGATGTGCAAAAAATACTGCATGATATATACCAAATGGGAGGCTTATCACAGTTATCTCTGCAATGTCTGGCACCAGAAGGATTTAAAAAACAGACATCAAATTATAGAGGCATAGATCTACCCCGAGCGTGTCTGTTCAGTGCAGTAATGCATAACTGCTTGATTATCCTCAATGAAATCCTCATGCTGCTACTCATCTCTACCTGCCTCCAAATACATTGAGATCAGTGTCTGGATTTATTTCTTGCTCTTGGTCTCAGGTGTAGCAATTAAAGAAATGTTCTGAATTGCTGAGAGCACCAGATGTGTGCAGTGGAGCATCCTACCCTGACAAGCATTTTGCTTTTAATAGTTCCTTTGGGTGCACATTGGCGTCTGGTTTTATTTTTCTGTTTATACTTTGTTTTTCTGGTTTATGGCACTATTTTCTTGATGGGGTTTTTCTGTTTCTTGCTTTGGAGAATGGTTTGGGATAGCCTGGATTATGGCACAGCAGCATTAAGAGTTGTCTCTTGTTCCTGTTTTCAGTTTAATGTCATTCTAAGTTCTCAGTTTGACTGGTCCTGTATGGAATAAACAAAGAAAAATATCCACTGATTCTGAAAACTGAATTGTGAATCATGTTGATGTCTTTCTGGACTTTCTTGATGTCTCTCTTGTCTTCCTGGATCTGGGACCTGATTTAACATATATATGACAAGATTTCTTTGGGAGCAAGGTTGAGGAACAAGGCTTTTTAGTCACAGAAGTTACAAACCTTCTTTCACCTGCCCCCTAGAAATGGTGGGCACATAGAAGGTGGCAGGGAATTTTCCCTTGAAGTCTGTTTGCAGATTTTGTCCTCCAGTCTAACTTTCAGATGATTCTTCATGCAGAGTAGAACAAGATGCTCAACTGCAGTCTTAGTGCTAGGGTGCAGCAGCAGGCATATTCTGATTTACAGAAATCTGATCTATTTTTCTCTGAAATGCTTTGTACCAAATTGAGAGTTCCATGATGGATATGACTGTCAAGAGCTACAGACTATGTTCATTCCTACAAGTAGAGAAGAAAGTCTTTCCTGACTTCTGCAAGAGCTTTTCTTCAGTTCCTAAAGAGTGGAATTTGACTACTTTGACTACGGTGTGAGCAGTGTTAAATGTTACTCAATGTGGTGAGTGCCATTTTTTCTAACTAATACAGGCAGTCAAAAAAATAGATCTTCACACACTTGTTATTTATAATGAATGTTGGGTGTATCATGACACCGTGACCAGTGGTATCAGGGTCTAATATTGGAACTTCTTATCTCACCAAAACCTAATTTATTTAGTTTTTAGAACAACGGTTCAGGTGAAACCATGATAAGCAAAAGATTAAAGCACTGTCAGATAAAAAGCAATCCTGTACCATTTCAGCTATCCTAGTTTTCAAAAGGGAATGAAATGTGCAGTAATTCATACAAACATAAATATTGAATAACCATTGCAATGGATTGGATTAATAGATACATAAGATGAATAAAAACATATTTGATTTAGTCCTCTGCTGATGGTGCCAGCAGATTACAAGGACTAACCTGTCTATTGCAATGTTACCCATCAAATAGCTATAATTCAAATCTTTCCTCTTTTTATTTTCCCTCTCAGAAAAATAGCACAGCCAGGATAAATAACAGCCTTTACATCATTTTGTTTCGCTGGAGATTAATCCTGGTCTTACCCATCCAATTTCATGCACATGAATATTCCTGTTGATTAGGGTAGGAAAGTTTTTCACATCCACAAATCATTTTGGAATTTGGGGCTGCAATGTGTCAAATTAATTCCTGACCTCACTCAGCTACCTGTGCGTCCACTTGGCCTGACACCACAGGACAGAATTTGGGCATAAATTTGGTGTGAGAACACTTGAAGCACAAGCAGGAGCCAGGCTCCCCCTGATCAGGTCCCATTCTGCCCTCTCTGCTCCTGTCTTGTAGGGATGAGCATTCCAAGGGTGGAGGTTAACAGGCATTCCTAGCTATGCATGGCATCCTACTCCTTAATGCTGACACAAATGGACTGTTTCCTAGGAGACAGCCTAAAATCAAATAAATTATTTGAGAGATACTCATGTTAAAAGATTCCAAGGAGTTCATCCTTACATAAAACTCCTGTTCCCAATTAGCTGGCTCTAGATCAGGGCTACAAGATGGGGCAGATATGATCTACTTCCCTCTTCACTGTGTGACAAAAGCTGTGTGTGGTCAGGCCCCCAGACCCTTTTCCTGTGTTGTGCTGCCAGCTGAGTGCTCCAGAGCTCCTGCATTGCTGCCCTTGCTCTTCAGGGCTCTTTCTTTCCTGCTTGTGCCCTCACAGTGACACCTCCCACAGTCTGAGGGTAAGTGTGAGTGATGTTGGCTGGAGGATTCCTCTCTCTGTCCTCCTGGATCCAGGGTGGTGCAGTGCTTCAGGCCCCAAAGCCTTGAGGCTGCAGTTTATCCCCCTACCTTGCATTTCAGAAGTGCTAAATCAGACATTCTGCTTTGTTTTTCTCCACCTCCAGAGGCTTTTCAGATTGCATCTAGTTAAAGAATTGCCCATGAGCTGGCATTAAAGGTGTGCCTCTAGGAAATATATTACCTGAATAAAAATGCTCTAATTCAGAAATATCTTTCCCACCTTTTCGTTGCCCTTGTTAGGGAAAAATGCTCCACTTTAACCTCCAGCTAACTGATTACCTGCCAGTTCTGATGCTGTGCTCAGAATTAATGTGCTCCAAAAGCCAACAGAGATGACTTGTGTTTGGGCACCTCATGGGAAAACAGGGAGATGAAAAGCCTTAGGAAAACTTTGACAAATAACTTGGAGTGTTTGACCAGCTATGCACAGCTGCTGCTGAATGGAGAATGCAAGCAACGTGCCAAGCAGAGACAAAAGGGGATCAGCAGGGAAGGCAGCTTTGGTATCAGCACTGGACATTTTACTCTCAGAAAAGGAGAGGAAATATGCTGAATTACCTGTAGGAGGTGTACCTGCTTTTGCTAATAGATGTGCATGGTTAAAGAATTCCTAACCACCAGATCCTGTACCAACGTATGCTGGAATTCTCTCTGAGGTCAGTGGAGATACATCCATGCACAGCACCTTAATTTGATTAATTGCATCCTCCCCATCTAAACATGCCTTAAAGACTTGGTTGCAGAGCCACAATCTCTCTGCCCCCTCCAATTCCCTATTTGAGGTGATAATGTCTCCTCATAAATCCTGGATGCGATAGCACCAGCATGACCCATCACTTCATTACACCAGAGCTGTGCACTGGGGAGGAGTTTATCTGGACAGAATGGATCTGGTCCAGGAGCAAATAAAGGAGTGAGGAATCTGATTATTGCTGGGCCAACTCTGTACGAGTTGCAGCTTCTCAATTTTCCTGATGTCAGCTAGTTTTACTTGTTTTGTTTGCCTTCCTCACACAGGAGGTGAAATACCTAGCTAGCACAGACATCTTGATGAGCTGCTGGTGTCAGGAAAGCCAATCTGAAATTTCTATCTGGTTTGGATGCCATGTGATGTGTCATTTGAGCATTGGCACATGACACATGATGTGTCATTTGAGCATTTTGGTGCATGCCAGGCTTGTTCCAAAATCAGGGATCACCTCAATATCAGCAGCGGGAGTGTGGTGACTCTTCAGACACCCCTGTCTTGTCCTATCCAGTGCTGTCTGGGAGGAGCAGCCTAACTTCCTCAGCTTTGTGCAAATGAGGAATCCTTGTGCAGAGGCAATTCCTTGATGACCAGGTACAATGGACACAGTATAGCATCTTTCACTGTCAGCATGAAGGGAGTAAAGGAAAATTATATGTCCAACTCCAGGGCACTCTGCACTGCTTCAGGCATGAGTGGTAGGGGAAAGAACTATTTCTTCTATTAGAACTATTTCTTCTATTTTATTTATTATTTCAAGTGTTTCTTTATGATTACTTCCTAGTGATTTCAGAGATAGCTGCTCTATCTTGGCCTTGCACTAGCTTGTTTAGTCTGATGCCATATATCACTTGTTTGTTTCTTCCAAGGCACTACTTTTTCCATGTATTTACTTCATGGTTTATATTTGCTTAATGCACATCTTTCAACAAGACACTCAGACTTCATTCAATGATTGCTGAAATTTCCTATGTGTTCCAAAGGATAAAAATTACATCTGTGTGTTGAGCCTTCCCTTGCAAAATTCCTCTGTGATTCTCCTGCGCAAGTTTTGCAGACTTTATGGGCTTAGTGGACATAATTCTTGCAGGTACTCACCGAGGTTTTAAAGTATTTAATTGGTCTTGAATGCACAGTGCAGCTCTCCAAATACAGGACTGAGGTATCTACTGATCCCTTTTTCTGTTCTGCACGTTTGAGTTGTCAGTTCTAGGTAGGCTGGCACTTGCACAGAGGGATTGTGAACTGTGGTGGTTTTCAGCAGAAAAGTAAGTGTTGCTAAGGGGAACTTGTGAGTGTATGTCCTTAACTGTAGCACAGTGACAGCTTCTCAGTTACTGCTTTTGGCACCTCTTTTTAGTCTGTGCCTGCTCTGAAGTTTAGAGTAAGCAAAAAATCTTATTAAAGAGAAACACTTTTACCCTTTTGCAAAAATTTTGTTTACTTATCAATTTTTTTTTTTCCACTCAGGTTTTCATTTGATTGGGAAGTACTTCTGCAAGGCCTTATGGAAAAGTTGGCTGGGTGTTTGTCCTGCTCCCTCCCAGGTGAGTCTCTGCCTATTCCTAGTGCTCCCACACCTTTTGGCGAGCATATTCCTGAGCTGCACACTCACAACTGGTGAAAAGATAACTCACTTCCTTGTTGAATTTAGTTTCAAATTCCTAGGGCCTAAGCACCAACACAGAATTCTTCCTGGTTATTGGTTAACACCAGTAACTAAGTACCAGGTGGCATCTTCAACACCTCATGCAGTAATTAAAACAAATGTCTCTTATTTCAGGAAACTGATTGAAAATTAATATAAGGCTTCATGTTCTGGGGGCTGACTCAAGTATGAAGGACTTAATTAAACCCCCATTGCAGACTGCAGTCTGGATGTCTCTTTTGTGATCTCTGTTACCCCACAGATTTTTGGCCCAAAGAACACAATTTCCTAGTGCCAAACAGCAAGAGTAGCCCAGAGGAAAATTATTACCCAGCTCCAAAGGGCATTGTGAGTGCTGTGGTGCTGCTGCCCAGAGATGGATCCAGCCCTGCCCTCCTGCCAGCCTGCCTGAGCAGTCAGTGTTGGTGCCCTGCCCTGCTGCTGGGGATGGGATTCACAGAATCATTAAGGGTGGAAAAGACTTCCAAAATAATAGTGTGCAACCTTTAGGCTGAGTCCACTGAAACCACTCATTGCCCTAAGAAACTGTGCTGCAAACTTGCATCAAGTACTTGAGTGGAAAAGCTCTTTTACCCAGCAGCCATATCGTTAACTGTCATAGTTAATTTACTTAATTAACTAATTTCTTATCAGGTAAAGGTTTAGATAGAATCAAGAATAAGCATTTGGATTAAGAAACAACACTTTGATATTAGAGCTGTGCCTTTTCTCTCATATTGTGTGAGAATTGTGGTGTCAGGAGAGTTCATTGCCCAGAGTTTTCCTTGTGGGGAAGGGAAGAATCCCTGTCCAGGTGCAAGTGGTAAAAATCTTACTTTGTCAGTCGAGGGCAGGAGAAAAATCCTCTAGAAAATAAAAATTTACAGTGTTTTATTGTGTTTCTTTTAGAAATAGATGGCAATTAGTCCATTCACGTTCTTGTCCTTTTGTCTGTGGTTCCTTAGTGTCAAGAAATCAGTGTGTGCTTTTACAACACACATTCATTCATCTTTGAATTTTTAAATTAATACTTTTGTCTTCTGAAAATAAAACTTGAAGTCATGCGTTCTGAAACGATGACAGCCTAAATTTGTTATGAATGCCCAAAATAAAATTTTATTTTCTTCTTAATAACCTCTTTCATAAAAATAACAACTGAGTATATATTCATTGCCAGAATTCTGAAGAATGTAATTTCATAAAGGGGAGAAATTACTAACTAGACACCTGGAATTGGAATTTCTTGAGTAATAAACTAGCTTGTGACAGCTGCAGCCCTTTTTTTGCAGGTGCAAAAAGTACATTTTCATCTTTTTGTTTTATCTGCTTTACATCACTTAATGACTAGAGTATTCCAAGTTGGGAAAACAACTGGTAGTTGAAAGAACAGGAAAATTTGCTTATCCTTTCCCATTTTATGAGTAAAAGGTGGGGTGGGGGGGAGGGAAGATCTGAGATCAACTGGTTCTAATCTTGAAGAATAGGAAAGCAAGGAAAAAATAGCTCAGCTGATTATTGCTGTTGATATTTGCACTGTTCAGTACATCAGCTGTCTTGAAATGCAAGGAATATTTTGATAATATTTCCTGAAATATGCAGGACACAATGTAGTTCCACTTAAACAATTATGTTCTTCTGGATATTTTTGTTCAGAAGCAGCATGACACAGAGCACACATTAAAAAGTGAATCAGTCGACTAAAACCTCCATGTCCTGTTTTTCTCATAAATCAAACATAAAAATGGACCCCCAAAATAAATGCTTAGATATATAGTGACATGTGACATTAGTGTGCTATTTGTTTTTGTTAACTAAGAGTTAACAAAAACAAATACTAAATACCAGCTCAGAGCTACCTTTCTTTGCAATCAAGCATTTTTATTATGTGTCAGTCTCTGAGAATAACCCTTTGTCATGAATATCTGCTAGAAAGCACAACTGCAATGCAAATTGAATTATTTAAATTGTGATTTAAATCACAATTAACAAAACTGATTTAAATCAAAGTGATATAAATTGGTCCCTTCTGCTTTAAAATTAATTGAGGATGTGCTTTGAAAGCATGTTTCTATCAGTGCTCTGACTCAGTGGGTTCTCCATATCACTCAAGTTTTAATAAATCAGAGCAAGGGATGGAATTTTTATTTAGTTCAACAGTCTCGGTCTCTGAATTTAAGGCCACTGAAGAATAGATTAACATTTATAATTGCTAGGTTGATCAGCAATGCAAATTAAAAATGGGGATTTCAAAACAAATTAACCTTTGCAGTACATCTTGTGGAGACAGACAGACAATGCTACTGTTGAAAAGGTTCCCCTCATCCTTGAAGTCACAAATCATTGTATTCTTCATGGTGCCTTGCTGCTCCACAGCCTCTGGAGTATCAATGTCCAAAAAATAAACTGTGATAGCTGAAAGAACAACATGGGCACTTTGAGGCTGGAGGTCCCTGCATGGGCTATCGCTGCTTTGTGTCGCTGCAAGCAGACTTGTGTATTTTGGGCTGAGATTAGGATGTTTAGGCTAGGGGTAAATGGGTTTATAATTAGATATGTCCCAGTCCCTGACCTGTTAATTGAGGTTCATACTTGCCTCCATTTACCCTCCACCTGTAATGAGACTGTGATTTAAAGCAGTTGAGGGAAAATGGCCTTTCTGTACCCACATATTTTTGTGCTTCCGTGTGCCCATCCTGTGCTCTGCTGAGAGCCTTTCTGTCCCTCTTTGAGATGTCTCATTAATAGAACAAGACACTGTGTCAATAAGGTCTATGCTGTATTTATTTATTTAAAGAATTAAGGGCTTAGATTTCATCTGGAGAAAACCACCCAGCACCTCTGCATTTCCAATGTTTCTCCTCAGGCAGAAAAGCAGTCATAACTGGGAAGATGGAGTGGATTTTGACGGCACCATACAGAATCTGAGGAGGTCCAGGGCTGTTCCTTCCATGCTGAGACATCTATGGAGCTGGGAGATGCAGAACCCTGTGGGGTGTTGTGTAGAGAAAGAGTGGGGCAGGCTAAGGACAACTGTGGATGGAATGGAAAGAGTGATCACCTATGAGAGCAAACAGGTTTGGTGTCTCCTGCTCCTGGGAAATTCTTGCCAATCAATGCAGCTGATGCAGGAGCTCCAAGCTTTCTGTGTGCTGGTGTCCCAAGGAGCAGAAGACAAGAAAACCACACTTTGTGTGCAAGCACGTATGATGTGTTTCTGACATGGCTTATAGGCTCCCAGAAAATGGTTGTTTTCATATCTGCAGTGCTTTGCCCAAAATTTACGTTTCCATAGGCAACCTTTCATACCTTCAATGCATATCACAGAATATGCTGATTTGGAAGGAGTGCACAAGGATCATTTGGTCCAGCTCTTAGGCCTGCACAGGACACCCTAAGAGACACACCAGAGAGCGCTCAGAGTTGTCCAAACACTTCTTGAACTCTGCCAGGCTTGGGGCTGTACCCACTTCCCTGGAGTACAACCACTAATAATTGAAGTTGAATGTGAAGAAATATTCCCTTTTTCTCATAATTTGTGTGCTTCCACAGTCCTTACCAAAACTGAGCCATTAGAAACAATTACAGAGTATATGACCCATTAGTCTGACCCTGTGGAAAATATTATCTTGTGCAGATGTTGATGCACATCCTTTGTGTAATGGTAGAGCTATTGTGTGGCTTGCCTTTTTTTCTGTGAGCAAACTTACACCAGGGGAAGCTGGTAGTACTATCTTCTGATCACAGAGCTCCAGGAGGATATAAATAGGGAGTGAAGAATGAACAGTGGTATTAAAAGCTTGCTCTGAATGGATTTTTTTGTTTTTAAGTTTATAAATAGAAATAAAATATAAATAGAAATAAACTAAACAGACCGGAATAAACACAGAACTGTGGCAGGTATTGTCATCACTGCTCACACCAGTGAATGGTTTTTAGGTTAATGAGAAAGCAGAGCCAGGAAGGAACCTTAAAGATGTCCAAGTCTGAGCAGTGGAAATGCAGAAGGTTTTTTCAGGAGGCAGAGCACAGAGGAGGAGCCCAGCCCCTGGTCTGGTGGAACAGGGTGTCCATGCTCTAGGTAGGGCTTGGTGGTGCCACATCAGGCATGGGAGGTGGGGACAGCCCTCCCTTCCTGCCAGAGCCACACCAGCCTCTCCCAGCTGAGATGCTCCAGGCTTCTGTCATCCAGAGGATGGTAAAATGTGGGTGGTAGGTGAAGAAATGCTGATGAAGGGGATATTGATGAGGCTACTGAGTAGTCTGCCAAATACTTGGAATATTTTTCAAAACTTTTGGCAGTGGGAACAAGATTGCAGCCTGGAAGAAAAAGACTTGTGTGTCTTGTTCAGTAGATGTTTCCAGCTGCTGGTAATGGTATTGGCAATAGGAGTTAATTAATAACTGGAAAGTTACTGCTTTTTAATGCATGCAAGTGTTGTGCAACTTCCATTGACATTCAGCGAAACATGCCCTACTTCATATATCTCATTTTTTGTCATCTAAATAAATTGCACGTTGTTGAAAAATCTCTTCCTTTCCCAACACTATATTATTTGCTAAACAATTTTTGGATTTTTTTTTTATTTTTGGTTTTTTTTCCTCTCTAAGAAGAATAAAATATTGCACATGGCCCTTTTCCAAAATCAAAGCTCTTTAGTATGGTTAGCGTTTCTGGTCTATCTTATTACTGATATTCATACAGATTACTGGCAAACACAAATTTATTGCAATATTTATTGGGCTGAATTTGAGGTTACTTATAATGTGGTTAGATGGCTGTTTATTAGACATGTCACAGTAGCTATTTAACACTTCTATAGCTGTCTAGCTGGAATTAGGACATAAAACAGAATTTATTGTGTTCTATCCAGAAAATGTTACAGGAAGAGTAAATTCTAGGAAAGACACAACTGTCAGAATAATGAAGGGACCAGGAAGAAAAAAGTAGTTTTAAACAGCAATTCTCAGCCAAACTGAAAGAGGGAAATATTCAGGATGTGAGGAAGTCCAGGTGCAGATTTTAGGTTCTCTAAAGTGCACCAGCACTCTGCCTAACAGCTGACCTTTCCCTCATGAAGTGGACATTTTTCATTTAGAAAAGGAAATGAGAGTCATCTTCTTTGATTAGTTTTGTGCTGATTAAGTAGAGTTTAAAAGTTCTATGGGACCATTTTCTCAAGGAACAATTTCATAAGAATCATGCCTTTCACAGGCAGGTGGTATTTTGATGATTTTGATGTGTTGTGTTAAGGTGGTATTGACTAGAGTATTTCACTGTGATGGATTCAAGTGACTATTTTTTCCACATTAGTGTATTTTAACTCTGCATTTCACTGTTGTGAAAGCCTTTTGCAGCACCAGGACAAAAAGTTTTATTTTCTATTAACATCTATGGGGTTTGGATCTTTTTCTTATTTGAAACAGAAAATGAGTGCACATGTTGGATGTCTCATGAAGAAATGTGGATGAGACTTCCCTGCAAGGAAGAGGCTGTAAGTGCAAAAAAAATTTCAAAAATACTTATGAATTTCCTTTAAAAATAGTTTCCTGTAACCTTTAGAAAATGTAGATTATTTAGGAAAATAGGTCCCCCATTTTCATACACAGACACAGACCATCTTAAAATACTTCACCAAAAGAAGCCAGTCTTTCTGTTTAACAAATAAACCCCTTTCTGAGGGAGGATGTGGAGGAGGGAGGAAATGAGGCCATGGAAAGTTTGCAGGTGTGAGGGTGAAGCTGGGCAGCCACTGCTTCCACTGCTGGTGAATGTGCAGCAGAGGCAGGACAGAGTGAAGGGAGCAGTTCTCCTTCTCCTTGTGCCTCCTTCTGGCATTTTCTCGGGGCAAAGGAGTGTTTGTGCCCAGTGCCACTGCTGTGCATGAGCAGCAGACCCCATCCCAGCCTTCACCCTTCCAGCCTAATTCAACTTGTCTACCCCAAATCCCATGGGAATTCCCTCCCTGCTGGTGCCTAATTGTCTCATCACAGGATGGCAGCTGTTGTGGACCAATAAATACATATTTATCCCTTGGTTCTTGCAGGTGGAAGAACTCAAATACCCCAACCTTCAGGTACTGCAGCCTTGAATGACACAGGATGAGATGCTGAGCAACACAGAGGCAGGAGATCATGGGGAGAACCTCTTTGTTCAGATTACACCTGCATTGAGATAAGTTTTAATGATTATTTTTTAGAGTGTAGCTGCCAATTAAGTTCAGGCTAATGCTGGTGAGAAACTACAGTAGGCAATTCAAGGAGGCTATATATTTTGTTAAATTCATTAGCTGCCCATTGAGGGTTGAAGAGAACATAACTAACAATAATTACATATGAATTATGAAGTTCAAATGGAATGTGTTACTTTGCTCACACAAAACTTCAAGGGAGACAAGTCAGAGAGGTTTATTAGCATATTCTTCTTTTCCAACAAACCTTACAATAAAGGGAAAACATAATAATGTAAAGGAGTTTAAGATTCATGTTTCCATAGTAGCTATATCTGCACTGTTCTTCCTGTGAAATTCATTCTCTGTGGGTGGTGATGCTGTTGAATAGTTTTTATTTCTCAGTCATCTTTGTTTTTTCCTCTGTAAGCAGCTCTTTTGTGTATATCTATTAACATGCAATCCTCTCCTGCCCAGAGCTTTCTTCAGCTGCATTGCACCTGAGCCAGGGGTTTTGCAGGGAGCAAAGGGCAGCACGCAAAACTGATCATAAATACACTCCCAAAATTTCATTTTTATTTGAGCTCATTCATTCTAATTGTTCTCTTGAGGCTCTATTTGGAGCACAGAGAAACCCAAAGGGGGCTCACTGGGCTGTGGGTCAGGTTTTCAGGTCACCTGTACATGGCAAGCGGTGAATAATGAGCAGCAGAGTGCCAGCCCCGTAGGCCTGACCCTGAGGATGGAGCCAGAATTCGGGCACAGATCTCATCAAGGGCAGTCTCAGGGATGGAGGAGAGCACAGCACCTACCCCTTCTGCAGCCAAAGGCAGCCACAGAGCTCAGTGACCAGCAGGCTGCTGTGCCCCAGTAATGCAGCTGACCGTGCCCTGATTAACTGGGGCAAACAAACTCTGCCCTGAACATTTTCTGTGTGGAATTAGTTCTTTTGTTGATGGCAATGGTCCAGTATATTGTTAGAGTCACTGCTGGGACTTGATATGATTACAGATACATTTCCATGTTCAATTAGGAGTGCTGTGATGATCAGTTTGTCCCTTCCACAGATTAGGATTAACACACATATTTTGCAAACCAATCACATACGTTAAAAACTGTTTAGGGTGGATTTTTTTCCTTCTTTTTTATTATTGTTGTTGTGAGGTTTTGGTTTATTTTGGGGGAAGGGTTTGGGGTTTTTTTGTGTTTGGTTATTTGGGGGTGTTGATGCTTTTTTTCCTAAACAGAATCCTTTAAGCCAGTTTAAAAAGTTTATTCTTGCAGACAGAAAAGTTCTTTCCTTTTGTCTAGATTAAGCATTTGCATGGGAAATGGAATGTGGAGGTCCTGGCCCAACTTTCTGTGCAACCACATGTGAATCCGTTCATGCTGTGGCCCCTTGTTGCTGTACCAAACTCCACCCTACTTTGCTTGATTTAAAGCCTACGGGAAGTGGTTGTCATCTTCTGTCTTTTTTAGGGACATCAGCATGAATGATGCAGGACTGGGGATTCTGGACATCACCACAGTAATCATGATAAAGGTCTGAGAGCCTCTTGGTCAATTCCAAAACTCCCACCTCTTTCCACAGTGTCAGAAACAGATCCTTGTTGAGCTGCTTTTAGCTTTTATCATCTTTGATAAAGCTTTTAGCACTTATCTTCTCTGTCTCCATGGGAGCCCCTTTCTGGTGTCCTGTTTCTTTCCATACATTGATTTCTACTGCTGTCACAAATGATCTGGAAACAGATATATAATTACAAAGTGTAAGACAGGTAACTGCATGGCAGAAAAAGGAGTGTTCAAGCCTGGAAACAAAGGAGTTAAAATGAAATTAATTTCTCTTACCCACTTTCCAAAGATGCCAGCCTTTCTGTATAAACTCCTCTGTCATTAATCTAATAGAGCTTTACTTCATTCATAATTTACTACACTCTTGAGTAAGCCATTCTAATATTTGTGCAGGGCAAGTAGATAAATCACTGTTGCTCTTCTCTATTTTTTTTACTTATCTGGTTCTTTCAAGGTCAATAACCTACCTTACAACTTTCATCTGGTTTAAATATTCAGCTCTTGCCTTTTACACCTCTCTTCCTTGTTCATGTCCATTTGGATATCTGCAGCTGTATCTTCTCAAGTAGCTATTGATCATGTCTCCTTGCTAGCTTCATCAGCAGTAATGGTACAAATTACATCTGTTAGGGTTCACTCACACCTCTCTTTTAGAGGGAGAGACTGCCTTCTGACTTAGTTGTTATTGGCCATCTTTTCTGCCTAGGTTATCTAAAACTCAGTGAGAAAAATTATATGCTGGGAAATATCCTCATTGTGACACATGTAGGCTTTCAGTGCCCAGGTCATGCAGAGCAGCTAATCAATCCCTACTGACCTCCAGGAGCCTGGAATATAGCTGGGTAAGGCCCCAGTCCAGCAATGCACTTAAGGGTATGCTTATGTAAACATAGCATCCATCCCATTTTCAGTGCAATTTGGTGAGAAGTGCATTTCAGAGCAGAGCATCTCTGGGATGCTCCTTTTTGCAGGGGCTGTGCAGGATGAGGCTGTACCAGCTGCCAACACGAGCACACCCCAAGGTATCTGGTAATTTTGCACAGGGCAAAGTAACTTTCTTTGTCTTACTTGTGAGGAGGCTGCTGAGGTGCCACTGCTTTGGTATCGGTGTGTGTTTGTGAGTGTGAACCTTGTCCTCTGCAGAGCTGATGAGCTCTTAAGAGCTTGAGTTTCTCTTGCTGACTATTTAAGAGAAAATTAAACTATTTAGGATTAGGCAGAATCATTGGGTGCTGCAGGACCTTATGGTAATGCCTGTTGTGTGCTGACTTCATCAGATCCTTACCCAATTGTGTTGCTGCCACAAGATTGCCAACTTTTACCAAAAACACAGGAGTGGAGTTTTGTTGTGGTTGTCTGCCAAGGGGTAAGGCTGGAATAGTTACCACCATGGTATAGAAGAAAACAGGGCTAGAAAGGACCTGAACAGGTCACCTCATCCACCCCCACAGAAACCACTCCTGACCCATTTGTCTGCAGTGTTTTTGTAACCCCGTCAGCCGTGGAGATCCCCCAGCCTGCCCAGGCAATCCCCTCCAGTGCCCAGTGACCCCTGCAGCAGGGAAGTTATTCTAGCTCTGAACTCAGGTCTCCCAGGCTGCATTTAAACCCATTACTTTTCTTGTGCTTTCCCTGAGGATGTGGATAACAATTTATTGCCTTCCTCTTTGCATAAGCCATTTATATAATTGAAGACTGTTATCATGTCTCCTCTCTGTCTTCCCTGCTCTAGACTAAATAGCCCAGATAGGATGAAAGCTGAAATGGGGTGTCAGGGAGAAGGAGTTAGAGGAGGAAATCAGAGGGGGATTAATCCTGCTTTCTGTCCCTGTAGAAACAGACTTTGGCTTCTGAAGGATGGGGATGTGGGAGGGGGAAACAGGATTTTCAGTGCTGCTGATTTCCTAATGCAGCTCTGTGAAATGTGTATCTGATTGATGGGCCACTGCCTCTCAGACTGAGGAAGAGGGGCTTGGACTGACTGTCTGCTGAGCTGTGACCCTGCTCTCCAGCCTCTGTGCTTGAGAATGAAGGCTGTAATTTCTTACACTGGTGAGGAGCATTTCCAGCTCACATGTCAGCTCCTGTGAGATGTATCTGGTTGAGCTTCTGTGCATCCCAAAAGCTGCTTCCAGGTGCTGTGTGTGTTACACAAGCAGACAACCTGATGATGTAGAACCATCCAGAGCCCTGACCATGAGCCCTGCCAGGGAGCAGGAGTCCTCTCCTCTGACAGCAAAACCTTGTTTTTGCTGCCCTGACCTCAGCTCTGTGCTTCCCACCCATGGCCAGCATGGAACCACTCACCACACACGCTGCCTACATGGTTACAGCTTGATTGCTCTTCATAAAACCAGCACATGGAACAGGCAAACTGTCTGATCCAGAGAGCCCTGGGGTGTATTATGTCAATGTCACACACATCAGGATAGTACAGCCACTGCTCAGAGTGACTTCTCATGCTCAGAACCCTTTTCCATTATTCACATCTGCTGTCACAGCTGCAGCACGTGTGCAGCCATTGCTGTCACAAAAACACCTCCCAGCTTGGAGACTTCCAAAAGCACAAGGTGGAGGAAAAACAAATGTTTCCTTGCTACTTAATGCTCCCAAACAGCTTTTGGTGACAGTTGTGCCCTGCTCCAAGCGCTCCAAGAACAGCACATAAGGTGGAGCTGTTTTCCCTAGGCTCCTGGTGACATGGGATCACAGGATTATTTACATCAGAAAAGGGCTGGCCTTGAAGAAAGCAAAATATTAGATGCTGTTTGGAACAGCAAGAATGTTCATTGCATTTCAAGAGCACTGCAGCCTAACTCCAGCACTCCCAGTCTCTCTTCCTCCCCCACTGCCTCATCAGTCAGCTGTTAAGACTTTCCAGTTCAATTTCACAGTTTAAAAAATCTTGACAAATTGCAATCCAATTGTTTGGTTGGGTTTGTTGGTTTTTTTGGTTGGTTGGTTTTTTTGTTTTTTTTTTTTGCTCTCCCTTTCCCCCACCCTTCCTTCTCAGAGTGACTTTGAAGATGACATTTGTATTTCTGAATTAAAACCACATTTGCCCAATACTGCAGATGGGGGAGGCAAGGGCAGAAGAGAGAAGAAAAGCTTTTGTTCTCCTCCTCACAGTGACCCCTCACCTGCCAGGGCCAAGCTCCACAATAATTTCTAACAGCTGAGGTTAGTCAGGGACACCTAATCCCAAAAAGCTGGCTCTGAATTCCAGCACCAGCACACAGTGTTTGAGTTCCACCAACAGCCATTTACATCTAATTCTCCCAAACATCTGAAGTGTGAGTATATGTACAGGTGTGTGCTTATTTAATAAAAAAAAAAAATTTCCATAAATCTGAGTCCAAATGTCATCAGCAGCAGTGACAACATAATGTTTTTTAAAGCTAAGCAAGTTCAGGAACTGTTTTGAGGATGCACTGGGATCTTTTGAGTGTAGCCTAAGCAGCCATGTCTACAGGATGCTCAATAATTGTGATCCTCAGCCAAAGGGAGGGCTGAGTTCCATTCCCTGATTTCCTGCAATGGAAAAGGAGTGTTCTGTGCAAATGGAACTGAAATAATCTTGCTGAGTGTGCTGAGACCTGTCCTGTGTGTCTCCAGAAGGGGCTGAGGAGGATCCTGGCTGCACAACAGAGAAAAACCTCCCAGGGCTCAGCTGATGGGAGGATGTGACAGCAACGGGCTCGCTCTGAAAGAAATGCACCTTCCCAGGCAAACAGGGATCAGGTGAGATGTGGTGGGTAAAATTACAGCTTTTTTCTTCTTTGGAGTCAGACAGAAGGAATAATGTGTTATTTTTTTCCAGAGAGTTTTAATTTTTTCAAAGATAGTCCCCTGGCTGACCCTAAGTATTGGTGACCCAAGGATAAAACCCCAGTTCTGTTGCATCCCTTCCCACAAAGGAAATTTCCAGCAACTTTTTCTATTTGTGGTGTTTGCCTTAAGACCATTCTCTTTTTATTAAAGAAAAAAACTTTGGTTTTGCTGTTTAGCCAGTTGAAATGAGTAATGAAAATGTTATTTACATGGGACAAATGAAATGTTTTCTTTGAAATTATTTCAGTTTACTAATTGATTACAATGAGACTGTTTGGATGTGTGCAGCATACAGCGTCCAGTCCCTCTGTTAGAGCAGGTCTTCAGCACATGTGATTTAATCCAGCCCATGGGAGAAAACAAGGGTAAAAGGTGTCAGGTATTTAAGGCTGAGCATCCCATGGATCCAGTTCAGTCTCCACAAGGAAACAATTAGGGTGTCTGAAAAGATGTCCTAAAAATATTGGAAGTTTCTGTGCAAGATGAAACTCTAGAGAATACTGATAATTAAAAACATAGACTAGAAATAAAAAAATTATCTAGAGAAAACTCCTCCAAGGAATAGGTATTTTCTGTTGTTCAGTGCAGACACCACTGAGAGCCTGCTAGCATGGAAAGTACTTGCTATTGATGAAAAGTAATAATATAAATCCACAGTATGTCTGAATTTAAATCAGAAAGGGAAAAAATTAATATGAAGGATTTAAGTGTTACAGCACGATTCCCTCAAGAAGAAAAAGAATCTCATATTTGGAACTGATTTAAGTATAATAATCTTCAAATATTCATGGCTGAAAATTGTTTCCTAAATGCAGTTTCCAAAATGTTGCGAGACAACAACTGTGTCCTGAGCTGATTTCAAAACCATGGAAAATAATATTGTTTCACATAAACACAGAAGAAAATGTGATATCAACAGAAATTAAGGGGGAAAAAATTGTCCAGGTCTGTGTGTCAAGAATGGTGAAAAACAGAGAGAAAAGGCTTCAACAGGAAAGCTGGGAAAGCCAGCATGGAGAGGCAATGTCATTCCCAGCTCACCAACGTGTCCATGTGATTTGTGTGGTTGAGATCTATTCCCCCTTGGCTCCAGCAGCCACTCTCAATGCTGCCTGCTGCCAAGAAGTAGGTCACAAACCTATTTTTGTCCCTCATTCTTCTGTGGCCTAGCCGTGGTCCCTGCAGCAGTGAGCAGAAGGAAAGGAGTGGTGGCAGCCCAGGGTCTGTCCTGGGCTGGGCTGGATGCCCTGGGCCCCAGCTCCTCTGACAAGAGAGAGAATGATCCCTCCAACAGCAGGGATTGCCTCTGGGAGTGCTCACCTCTCTCTGCTTGCTGGAGAAGGATTTTAAGGGAATTAGAGACTTAGTCTGTGGTTAAATGCCTAAACTGAATAGGATGACTCTGAGCCAAAACACGTGTGAAGTGCCAGCCCCATGCAGGGATGCTGCACCCAAGCAGTGCAGGAGATTTCTGTGTTAACCCAGGTCTCACTGGTCTGGCTCAGAGGGGTCTGGCAAACCCTTGTGGCTGAGCTGGGGATGGAGGGGACTCAGGCAGAAGCAGGAGCTGGGGATGAAGCAGAAGGAATTGTGTTGTGACAGAGCATTTAGTGCTCTGGGGCTAAAAGCTGCCTGCTTTTCCTGCTGTCTCCCAGGGCTGGTGATTTTATCACTTCTGCTCCTAGCATCCTTCTTTTCTTCCCATATATCAGCTGCCCCTTGCCCCCCTCCTCTAAATTTATCCAGTTGATCAACATAATTCAGTAAAATTTAGTAATTGTTTTCAACTTTTGCTTCCCTTTGAAGTTAGCTAGAAGACATGTCGGGAAGCTGCTCGGATTATCCCACAATATAATCTAGAAATTATAAAAACTACTACAGAAGATACTGTCTCTCCTTATGGAGTTGCCTTATTTGTATATCTGTGAAGTGCCAAAATCTTCTTGTTCCTCACTCCTGTCTTGTCAATGGCAGGCAAAGACTCCTGGGGACAATGGTTTTGCCACCCTGGTGTCCTGTGACCTTTGGAGGATGAGTGATCCATCTCCCTGTGGGAGATTTGGTGTTTTGCCACTGGTCAACAAAACGCTGTCCTCGAGTGAATAGTTTTACAAGTCGCAGACACAGTCAATGCTGCTGCCTCAGGGCCTGGCACAGCCCCAGAACTCAAGGGTTTGCCACCACCGAGGTGATTGCAGGAGAGGCCAAGCAGGAGAGTTAATTCTGATGTGTCCCTCTCGTGACATTTCCTTGAAATATCTGCAGCATTCAGTCCAATGCTGCACTACTTCATCTCAGCCAATTGTGTTCCCTCTGACATGAAACAAACTGCAAAGCAGTTGTCTCATCATTCTGCCTCTAGCAGGTCTTGAGTCCGGCTTTTCAAACTGATTTTTCCCTTTTCACAGTGCACCTGTCAAGATCCCACTCTGGAACAGAAGATCAGAGCAAATGGGGGCTGAGGAGAACAAAAGCTGCCCCAAACCTTTGACCTAAATTTAACATAAAGCCAAATGAAACCTTAGAGGTTTGTATATGTTCATAAAACATTTCTACCTCCTGGTCCCCTTTCCTTTATCTTTGGTTTCTTTATACTTCTACATTTAACTGTTTCTAATTGAAAGTCTAATGTAAAGCTCTCCTAAATTAATGGAAAGGCTCTCACTGATTTTAGTGCCTTCTGATTCAGCCTCCCAAAGAAAGGAAATAATTTCTTTAATGAAAGTGTCTTTAAACTTAAGAGAAAAGAAAGCCTGGAAAGAGATAAGGAAAAGAAGAGATCAAATGCAATTTTCCAGCTAGCAGTACATGTCCTTGATGTGAACCCCGCCCATAAAATTGCTGTGGATACGGGAAAAAATATCACTGAGCAGAAACAGAATTACTGAGACAATGGTGAATTGGTTTAATAAGCTTTAATGTCTTCTTATAAGAATGGTAAAATTTCTAGTCTTTTGCAACCAGGTTGTTCTTTAAAAGCTAACTGCTGGTAACCAGTTGGCATTTGTCACCTGAAATCTCCAGCTGACATTTGTCACCTGAAACTTTGTATGTGTGAGAATTTCCTTTGTACCAATATTGCAAAAATTAAACACATGAAAACTTTATTAGGAATATAACTATGCTACTCATACAATTTTTATCTTGCTAGGTGACTCTTCAGAAGGAGGTAATGATAGCTTATGGGGCTCAGTTACACCTGAATTTCCCTAAAAAAATGCATTGAATGATCAGAATAAGCATGTTCTTGTCCAAGTTATATTCTGGAGTCACAGACAAGGGCCTTGAGGAAGGCTGGTGAAACCAGCACAAACAAAAATTAGCATGTGGCCCATGTTGAAAGGTTCTGACACTGTCTTTTGGCAGTGACAGGTCCTGATGGATTGGTGTTGCCAGTTCAGAGCTTGGTCTCTGTAGTGCTGAACTGCCTTGAGCCCCTGTTTTGTTCTTACAAATCGAGTGTTTTCTGTGTGCACACTGCTGTGGCTGCATGTTTTACTTGTGAATACATGCAGAGCTTATCTAGGGAACTATTCCCCAATATCTGTGTAACAGTTTTGGTGTTCACAGTCACAGGGCAGATGCACACACATGTGCTCCAGAGGCTGCTGCTACTTGGTGCTAATGGAAAACACAGATGTGCAAAGTGGCCCTAGAATGATTAATAACCAGCACTGCTTGTTCATCATGGGCCTATAAATAATCATTATTTTAATATTACTCCTATGCAAATTTTACACAGCATAGGTTTTTTTTCCATTCTCTCATTTTCTTTTTGTCTCTTATTTGTGTTTTTTCCCCTTACTCCTAGATTTTCTGCTTCTGAGCTCCTCCAAAGTGTCAAGGCTGGACTGAGTGGTGTGTGCCAGCAGTGGATGTCCCTGTGCCAGTGCCTGAGAGCAGTGATGGCACCTTGTTCAGAACCCCCTGACCAAAATGCCTCCAGAGTATCTGCTGAGTGCCTTTGTCTTTGGAGGTTTGGATGGTTCTGTCCATGCACTAACCACTATTCAACATCTGAAAGAAAATAAGGACTGTGACAAAAGGTGCTGGCTGAGCTCCATGGACCATCCAGTGTGGGGATAGCATTGGTGGAGTGAATCAACTGGACTGAGAAATCAGACAAAAGAAATTATCCTATTTGCTTTTCTCAGCCCAAGTTAGAAGGGGAAAATTCTGTGTATTGGCCTAGTGACAAATCTATTTTGACTGTCAGAACTCAGAAAACTATTTTTTTTCTCACAACTTCTCTTGGATCCAGTGGTGTGGGTTTTGTAAATGCTTCATCTATCTGTTTCTAGAAACATACAGAGCATGAATTACTGGAAATGAAGCAAAATCTACCAGACATAAACTCAGCCCATCCTCTATAGCTCATATTCTCTGAAGACTCATTTGTCCTTTTCCTCTTTTCAGATATTTCCTCTCTTCTCTCTGGTCTGTTCTTGTTATTTGTTTCATCGGCCATTTGTTATACAACTCTTGGCAAAATATCAGGGAAATCTTCCTGACTGCGAACGGGGAAGTGCTTTCTTAAGGGAACAACAGTTTCTTTACTTGGGAGAGCAGAAAACAAGTCAAGCCCAAGTATTGTCTTTGCTGAGACAAAGTTCACAAGGACAGTGATGTGCTTTGTTGGACTCAGAGGTGCAGCTGATGAAGCTTGCCCTCTTAGGATTTTCTTTGGTTTCTTAAAGGTTCAAGGTGTTATTTCTCCATGTGAAACTTGCCTCACTGCAGTGCCAGGGGTCAATAGGCAGTGATGGAGGGATGGACTGAGCTTGTGTCTGGTGGGAACTGAGCTCTGTGTGTGTGGCTCCACGGGGGCGGTGGGTCTGCTCATCCAGGGGTGGGGATGCCTGTCTGGCTACAGGCACCCCAGCAGTCATTAAAACAAGCAAACTGCATGCTTTCATCTCTCCTGGGTCCACAGCTTCCTCAGCTCAGACGAGATGGCCTTAGACCCAGTCTGAGCCTCAATAAACTTTTCACTTTTGCAGTTTCACCCAAAGCCTGACTTTGCACTGGGATTATCCTGAGATTCGTCTGCTTCAGGTCAGTTGGGTTCCTCTCTGCCTCCTCTCCAGCTAAAAGATTATAGCAGAGCTGCACAAGCATGTCCTGAACTCAGAGCAAACTGAAGGAAAGGCAGCTCCAGCTGCAGCTCTCAGCCTGCCAGAAAGACTCTCCTGGCAGGTCTCTGACGAGCCTGTTACTACAAGTTCACCCCAAGCGGCAATTCCGGACAGAGCAAAATTATGCATGAAGTTCATATTAGTTCATATTAGCTCACATTGCCAGCAATTCAGTAGCTCCTTCGCAGTGCTTGAATCTCAGTTGAAAGATTTATGTGGGCTTGCCATGCAGCCTCTCTGAGGAAGTCATGAAGGTGGGCATGCTTTCAGTTTTCCTAAATATCATGGTGCAAGTGAGTTGTGCAATATTTCTGGAAGGACTGAAGACTTGATTTTAAGTCCTAATACAGAATTGTCATCTCTGCAAGATGTAATAGCATTTAGATTAACTTCCAAAGCAGAAAAGGACACAGTAAAAGTAGTTTCATATAGTAATTTTTATTTCCACTCACTGAATAAGTGAGATCTTACATCTATTGAATAACCCAATATTTATAAAGGTTTTCTTTTAAAAGAGTTTCTAATGGTTTGACTGCATGCATTAAAACTCATTTTGTGTGTTTTAAATTAATTATAACCTATTCAAAAGCACTTTCTCACCCTAAAGCATTCTGTGCATTATGTCTCTGTAATACCTTCAGCTGCTACAGAGATCTCACAAAGATGAGGATGTTCATGATAAATAGATTTGGGAGTTTTTTAATGTTCATTTCATTTTGTACATTTGCCAAAAGATTTTTTAAAAAATTAAATTCATGTTATTCAAAGTTTGGAGAAGAGTTGGTTGAAAAATCTCTAATTTAGTTACTTTTGAGTCAATTTCAGTGATGGTTTTTAATGAATGGCAAATGCACATATTAGCTACATAGCTAACATTTTCTGTCCTCTCCTGATTTATTGTAGATTAACAAGAATGAATTATTGTTTTATCCCTTGTGAAAACCGTGTGATCTGGGCTAAGACTAATGAGCCAAACGAGTCCTCAGCTGGACCTGGAGTGAGGCAGTGGCTCCTCAGCTCCCAGCAATTACAGCAGTGCAAAAGGCAGCTCTGTGCCCAGTGCCCTGCTCTGGTGCCTGCTCACACACTGCTGCTCCTGGAGCAAAGCCCACCTCCATCCTGCGGGAAGGAGCTTTGCAAAGAGGAAACAAAGTCCTGCCCAGTGCTGCAAAGAACAGACAGAGGCTTTTTGGGGGTGTCTGTGGGAAGGGGAGCTTGCTTTCCCCAGGAATGGGAGGCATGTCTGCCGTGGGAGGCAGTGCTCACGGGGCTCCCCACTCTCACCATTGAGCATTGTTCAGAACAAACATAGATGCTGTACATGGATGCAAAGCTTGATTTGTGGTTTTTACACCCACCACATTTCTTGGAGTTGACAATTCTAAAACTTTGGGACTTTTCATCTCCAGGCTGGCGCTTTCTTTGGGGTTTTTTCTTCATTTTATAGGAAGCGAGCATGCAAACAAACCAGCCCACGCTGTGGCCTAAGCAGCTGTGTAATGCTGTCCTCCCCTCAAAAGTGTACAAATCTGCTGGGCAGTAGGGACACAAGTTGGGTTGGTATAACACAGTACAGCTGCACCATGACATTGCTTGGGTGGATGCTGAGAAATCTATAGGAATTCCCTGGGGAAATGTGGAGTTGGAGGGGGAAAAAAACCTGCTCTGCCCACTGTTCCACTTTGCTGGAAAATCCACTGCCCAACAGTGAGAATAGAGTGACTTATTTTTCAGAAATGCCTTGGGCCAGCTGTGACTGAATGGTTGTTTCTTGCTCCTGATAGTTCCCAAAATGTTCAGGGCATTTTCCAGGTGGAAGAAAGTTAGAGCTAAAGAGATGCAGAAGAAAGAAGGAGAAGATTCAACTCAGCAGTTGTTTTGTATAAATGGAATCTTATTCATTCTAAAATTTCAGCCCTTGCTGATGACTTCACAGTTTTAAAGAAAAGAATATTTCTGAGCTTTCCTAGGGGTGCTGAAGAGCTCCTTGTTCCTCCTGCTCTGTGGCAGAAGCTGCTGCATTAGGATTTGTACAAGGTATTGACACAAGGTATGTAATGCCCACCTCTGAACAACAAACTGATACTTTCTCTGGGGAAGGAAAAAGGATGGGCCAGTTACCCTTTCTCTGGGAATTTTCAGCCAAAGTTATGTACTTTAATTCGTTGGTGAGTAGGAAGCAATGTGGATTTTTGAATCCTCTTGCTGGGCATGGAGTGAGAGACACATGGAGATGGCAGGACTGCTGTCACCTTGTGCTCTGCCATCATCAGGTGTGTGGCTTCAGCAGACATCATGACTCAAAACCCTGAGGGGTCCTTTCAAACCCTACTGTACCCTGACCTACCACAGTCCTTCTCTCAAAGCTGTCCCTTCCTCCTTTACCAGCCAGAATGGTGGATTTGAGTACACAAAGGCATGAAATTGGACAGAACAGACTGGAAAATAGCCTGTACCCCCAGGTAGGTGTTGATGGACATTCTCCATTGGCTTAAAGTTTCTTATCTAGTTTCAAGGACACTTTTATTTTTAAATCTCTTTTCCATTGGACATGTACATGGGAAGTCAGGTAGCAGATACAGGGGCTGGCTCAAGAATAGCCACAAGCTGCCTGATTTCTATTTTACACCATAATTACAGTAGCATACACTTTGGACTGACAGCAATTCTCAGCAACAGAGTACTTTGGAAATATTAATCTCACATCATCTATTTGTGTTGAATATTGGCTTATTCAGCAGGTGATGTGAGCCAATATTATCATACTTTCATAGACAGTAAAACAGAGTGAGAATGAAAGATTAAGTGACCCACCTAGGGTCAAGCAGTATGTCCAAGAGAAAAACCTAGTTAGGCTTGGGGATTACTGCCTCCCAGTGATTGAAAAATATCTGCAATATTTCTGAGAAGCTAACATATATACATCTACAATAAATCAGAAATTATACTGGCTTGGGTTAGTCCTTCACTGGTATGAGGGACATTTTCATTGCATGGTATTGCAAAAGCCAACAGACTTAATGCTTTAGACAGCAACAGCCAGATCCTCCAAAATGTCACCATGTTCCTCCATGTGCAAGTCCCACAAACTGCAGTTTCTTAAAGGAGAGCTCAATCTTCAGCTGGTGATTAATATAAGCTGTGATTTGCTTGTGATTTGGCAAAAATAGCCAAAGGTTTGACTCTTTTAACCTTGTCTTCTGACTATTCAGCATTTCCCATTCCACGAGCTGAGAAGGATTCATACAGATGGGACTGTTCCCCTGCTATGGGGATGGGCTACATGGGGAGCAACAGGAGTTCTGTGTCCGTGCAACTCATACAATATCAAGTCTCAAGGTAACAGCACCTCTTAAATTGAATACTGATGTTGTAGTAATTTGAGGAAACTAATTATCCCATGAACAGTTGAGTAAACTTCAGAAGAAAAAGGTTTACATTGAGAAATTGACTAATAATAGGGATAAGATAATTATACGTAGGGGGAAAAAAGCCAAACCTTTTGTTCCTGGACTTTCTTCTCTTACATCACATTATGGATGCCATTCAAGGAAGCAACCTCTGCAGAATAATTCTAAGTGTTAACTAATCATGTTTCAACAAAAATGAGCAGGGTCTCAGATTTTAGTTGGCTTGGATGTCTAAAGGCAAATTATAAGTTACGTAATAAAACAACAGAATTATTCAACATTGATTTACTTGTTTGTTTTGCTATAAGAAATGAAATTTTTATTGGAACGAAATTAAACAAAGGTTTATGGGCTTGTGTTCCCCATAGCCTTTTATACTGTACTAATATAGTAATATTCATAAATCATATCAGAGTTTTCAAATTTCCTCAGCAGTGACCTAGACAACAAATGCTTAGCAACTTGCTGAGAGACTTTGAAATTAAATTCAGCTGTAATATCATCATAACTAATTTATGGCAAGTTTGGTTGCTACAAAGATACACCCTAAGAAACTGAAGTACATGGTGAGGATAAGATAAAACATGGGTTTAGTATCATGTAGTTATTCCACTAGAAAGATTTATTCTACATTTCATTACTTTACTGAGCATGGAAAACCAGTGTGTTCCTTGGGAGAGAGGAAATCTTAGATAATTAAACATGTAAATACTAGGCCTTCAACCAAGTAAAACATGGAATGCACCAGATAAGAAATTAAACCTTTATAGTTATTGAAGGAGCCTTGCCTTTGACATTTGTTAATATGAACATTCATGTAGACACATGGGCTCTCTATATTAATGTATCTATAAATATATGTCTCCTTATACATGCATACAGACTCCACAACAGGCATAATAGGAAAATATTATTTAGGGTAACACAGACATTATCTGGTGCAATTGGAATCATGTTTCAGAATTGCCCAACATCCCTGAAGCCCATTTTTGTCCCACTGCAACTTTTGAACTTCCTGCAAGGCTCATTATGGCAAATTGAGATTGATGACAAAGTGCAGCATTTTTAAATTATTAGTAACAGAAACAAGATTTTTCTTTTATCATTGCTGCTGCTTGGGAAAAGCCTCAGAATTGCTTGGCTTTTGAAGGTCCTCTTCCTGTCCTTTCTAACCCACTCTAAGCAGCTAGTTGGCCAATTAAAACAATCTCTCCTTTGGAAAGCAAGCATTTGTCAGAATTAAGAATGAAGGCTTTCTTCTACTACATCTATTGTCCCATTCATTCATTTACATAACTACTCCAGTGTTAATCAAGTGCCTGTAGGCATATCTCTAGAAAAGTGTAAGGCCATAAAAATAAAGGCAGACATATCTGGTTATAGATGAACCTTCCATATGCTGCAGATCTTTTCTCACACGCTTATCTTGGTTTATCTCCACCTCTTTAAATTGGAAAACT